TTGCCGTTCTTCTTAGCCGCGGCGCAGGGAGGAATCGAAGGGAGGGAGGATCAAGGGGAAGGGCTAGGGTAGTGGAGCGAGGAGCGAGAGCACGATCGGGAGGATCGGCCTAGTCCCCCCGCATAGTCCCCCATACCACGCCTAAGCCAGCGGCCATGTGACCCAGCGCAGCTCCTCCGAAGAGGCCGTCGCCGACGCCACATCGCCACCCACGTCACCGAGAAAGCGCATCTCGTCGTCCCCGCTACTGCCGCCGTCGCTGACGCCGCCGTTGGACTGGAAGGAGCTGTTGTGTAGTTTGTTGGAGTAGCTCATCATTCCCGTCCCCGTCGTCGTCGCCTCCGCCGCAGCCGTCGTCGCCGCCGCCGTCCAGCCGCGCACCGCCCCGCTCTTGCCCGTCTCGTCGCTGTCGTCGCCGCTACTGCCGCCGTCGTCGACGCCGCTTGCCGTTCTTCCACTTGCAGCCGAGCGCGTCCTCTTTGCACGAGTTCCTGCTCGTGTTGTCCTTGCACGACCCGACGCCGACGGCGCCTGGCAGCGAGCAGTGACGAGGCCTAGCACGCGCCGCAGGTCTGCTTGCAGGCCGCCGCGGCACCGGGCAGGCCGCAGCGGCGCGCGGGGTTCCGCGCGACCTCGTAGCAGGTGAGCTCCTTGTCCTTCGGGTTCTCGAAGGACCAGGTCGTCGAGTCCTTGCAGTCCTCCGTGAAGTCGTTGTCGCCTCCGGTGAGGCCGCCGGTGTCGCCGCCCTTAGCCTCGCACTTGTCGTTCTTCTTCTTCCACTCGCAGCTTTTCTTGTGCTTCTTGCAGGCCTTCTTGCTCGTGTTCGAGTCGCACGGCGTGCACGCCTTCTTCTTGTAGGAGCAGCCCTTGACCTCTTTGCAGGCGTCCTTGGCCTTCGCGCCCGTTTTGCCGTCGACGGCGGCGGCGCAGGGGTCCGCCTGCTGCGGGGCGTCGCGGCACTCCCCCTTCTCGTACTCGCAGGCCGGGTCCTTCTTGCACTTCTTCTTCGTCTTGTCGGCGCAGGACGGGCCGCCGGCGGCCTCGGTCGTCGTCACCACGACGCCGTCGAGCGCGGCGGCGTAGTCGGCGAGCGCGATGGAGTTCTCGCCGACCGTCTTGCCGTTCGAGGCGACCTTGGGGTCGTTCACGGCCCAGAACATGACGCCGCCGAGGCCCATCTCGCGCATGCGGGCGATCGTCGCCATGTCGTGGTCCATGCCGCCCCAGACGCCCGTGTAGGCCTGCGGGCCGGGCTCGAAGCCCATGACGACCTTGTCGAGCGGGATGCCGTAGTCGACGTGGGACTGGACGACGGCGTCGTAGTGCTCCTGCGACGAAGTACGGCTCCGTCGCGCCGACGAAGGCGTCTGTCGCGTCGAGGTCGTACATCATGAGGTGGACGTAGTCCACCGCGTCGACGCCGTAGTCGGAGTTGGCCTTGAGGTAGTTGAAGATGTCGGCGCCCTCGCCGTCGGTCGCGAAGTTGTTCTGGCCGTACTTGGAGCCCGCCGTCGGGAAGAACGCGTTGTAGCGCGGCGTGTAGGAGATGATCTTGTCGCCCATGCCCGCGGCGACGAGCGCCGGCTTCAGGGCCGCGATGACCTTGCCGACGATGAGCCGCTGCTGCGCGTAGACCGCCGGGTCCGAGTCGCGGTACTGGCTCAGGTGCTCCCAGTCGAAGTCGATGCCGTCGGCGCCCATGGCGAGGAGCTGGACGAGCTGGTCGACGAGCGCGGCGACCTGGTCGTCGTCGATCGTCTTCGTGAGGTCCGACCAGCCGCCGAAGGCCCAGAGGAAGCGCTTGTTGTTGGTCTTGCAGAAGTCGATGAGCGCGTCGATCTTGACCTTCATCCAGTTGTACTGGATTCATCCACGCGGGCTCGACGTCCTTCATGACCTCGAGCACGTCGGCCGCGCTCATGCTGTCGTAGATGGCCTCGCCGTTCCACGTGATCTGGCGCGGGGCGTCCGCGTTCGGCGACGGATCCAGGGTGAGGAAGGAGTAGAGGAGCGTCGTGAAGCCCCCGAGGTGCGCCGTGTCCATGGTCTTCCAGTTCTCGACGTAGCCGACGCGCTCGAAGTTGGCCGCGGGCGGCACGGGCGCGGGCGCGGCCGTCGTCGTCGCGGCCGCCGTCGTCGTCGCGGGCGGCGCGGCCGTCGTCGGGGCCGCCGTCGTCGTCGTCGCGCCGCCGTCGACGACGCACTTGCCCTGGCCGGCCTTCCACTTGCAGGCCGCGTCCTTGTCGCACGACTTCTCGGTGGACCGGTCCTCGCACGCCTTGGGCGGCTTCGTCGTCGTCGTCGCGGGCGTCGGCGCGAGCGTGTTCGCGGGCGGCGCCTCCTCGGGGCACTTGAACATGCAGTGCCCCGACGTGACGTAGACCTCGGCGCACGCGACGGCGATGCACCACGCGTCCTCGACGACGCCGAGCGGTCCGGACGCGCACGTCGCGCCGACCGAGTCCTTGTCGCAGGCCTTGGTCCCGCCGCCGCCGCCGCCGGGCGCGCCCGGGCCGCCGCCGGAGCCGCCGGAGCAGACGACGCCGTCCGCGTCCTTGTAGGCGCAGAAGCCGGCGTCGACGTACTCTTTGGCGCACTCGGTCTTCCAGCACCACGCGTCGGACGTGACCTCGGACGCCGACCGGCACTCGCAGCCCTCGCCGCCGTCGTTGACGGGCGGCGTCGGCGTCGGCGCGGCCGTCCAGGCCTCGTCGAAGGCGCAGTAGTGGCCGCCGCAGTCGGCCTCGCACTTGTTCTTGGACGACGCGCACGACCGCTCCTGGTCGCTCTGGCAGTTAAAGCACTGCGGGTCGCCGGCCGGGCTACAAAAAGAACAATTCGAAAAAAAAACGAGTGCAAACGACGGACGCGGGCTTCGCACTCGTAGTTGTCCCACCAACAGCAACGGCCGTCGCGGCCCGGCGTCGTCGTCGGCGCGGGCGTCTCCTTGGCCGCCGCGGGCGTCGGCGCGGGCGCCGTCGGCCGCGGCGACGGGGCCCGGGAGCCGCCGCCGTCGACGATCCTGACGTCGGCGCAGTTGCGGAAGACCTCGGGGAAGTTGTCGACGGAGTTGCCCGTGACGTAGGTCCACTGGAGCACGCAGTGCTCGCAGGTGACGCCCGCGGGGAGGACGTAGCGCATGTCGTAGTAGGTGTCCGTCGACCCGTCGGGGACCATCCAGCGGTCGTCGTTGTGCTCCGGGTCGCTGCAGGCGCCGCCGCCCTTGTCCGCCGGCGCGTAGTCGGTGCAGCACGTGCCCCAGGGCACGCCCGCGCCGTTGAAGCCCCGCGCGTCGAACTCGGCGAGCGCGGGGCACTGCGTGTGCACGTTGCGGTACGAGTCGCGGTCGCCCCAGTAGTCCGCCGCGTGCTGCCGCTCCGGCCGGCCCTGCTGCACGAGCTTGCCGCTGTAGGCCGTCTCGTCGAACTGGTTCCGCGTGTAGTCCGCGTCGAACTTGAGCACGTGCTCGTTGAGGCACTCCTGGGTCAGGACCTCGCCCATGGCGTCCATGGGGCAGAGGCGGAACTCGAACCAGCCGAGGTGGTGCGCCGTGACGAGCGCCTGGAGATCGACGGTCGACCCGGCGACCCACTCGACCCGCGGTTCCGTCTGGCCGTACTTGTCGGAGGCGGCGTCGGAGACGCCGCTGTACATGGCGCGGCCGCCGTCGTCGCCGCAGAGGCCGAAGCCCTGCTCCGCCTGCTTGGTCTTGCCGCCGACGCCGCCGCCGATGCCGTGGTTGAGCGAGACGAGGTCCTTGGTGGAGGGGTTGCGCAGGATCTTCGAGTAGCCGCCCTCCTGGACCTTGGGGTCGATGGCGACGTCGTGGACGATCTGGCGCGCCGGCGGGATCGTCATCATGGCGTGGCCGGAGACGCGCGCGAGGCGCGCCGCGGC